CATGTAATCTATTCCTATATAGTTTCATACATCTAAAAATATCCATACTCAAACCAGACTCAATAACCAGCAAAGACAGCCAAAGCACACTCTCATGATGCCAAAAACTGTGAGCAAGGTCTTAACCAAGTCTCAGCACAAAAGAAAAATAAACCAGATTAAATACTTAACACATAATAGAGGTTGAATTATTTGCTCTCTCCTCCACGAGTATACAAGTCAGCTCAGGCTGTGCCACAAAGTAGGTGTGTCACCTATGTGCACATGGACTCACTGGTCCAGACCAGACACAGGGAAAGCCTTTGAGTCGTCTAAGGACATATTTGTGTACATCTGCTGTTACCCCATCTTACCTCAACAGTAAGAATCCCTTTGCCTCTCTTTTGAATGAATAATACATCTTGTTTTTATCTTCTCTTTCATGATTCCTATAGTTTTACAGACACTGTTGTATCATACATACATACAACTTTTATTATTTATGGACCAAAGCACCAATTGCAGTTATGCTTCATAAAAACATATTTTTATTCTCGATTTCATAAAAGCTTTTTCTGAAGCAATAATGGGAACTAACAGGTTATCGATATGCACCTTTACATTTGCACTTATTCTGAATATATTGTTTTAATTTGCAGTACCTCCACGAATATATACATTTTCACATGATACTGTACAATGACAATATCTGATATTCTGATCATCTGTAACAACTGCTATTCCATACACAACATTATTAACACTATTACCAATAATACAATATGAACTGTATGTTATATAATGTAACTCATAATGTGTTATATTCATACTCTTATGTTATACTCTATTGTGTCCTATTGTGTCCTACTCACTCAATTTTAACTGCAATTACACTGTCCTATATTTCATTTATTTTATTGTATGCTGTTTTTATCCACCGTTGTTTTTGTAAATGTTGATTGTTGTACAGTGTCCTTGTGTGTCTTGAAAGGCGCTTATAAATAAAATGTATTATTATTATTAATATTATTAGCTTATATATAAGCCTACACACACACACACACACACACACACACACACACTTTTTGTATTATAAATACAAAAATAAAAACATAATGTTTATTATAGCCTAACTGACTAGAAGTTGTGACTAAAAGTTGCCACTGAGGTTATTAGGCTGTACCATAATAATAAACGCAGAACAATTTCTTACTGACAAGATTAGAAAAACTGACAACTATTGCAAAAAAAAAAAGATGAAAAGAAAATGTGCGTCGACGGAGCTCTTACCTTTTAGAAGAAGCAGAATAAAAATTGTCCAAACGAGATAAAAACAGTAGCCACGGACAGGAGTCAGGTATCTCACGTTTTCAGTGTTTAGTACCAATGAAGAGACTTGTATTCACAGGTCTGTTCTCCAGTCCTCTCTCAGTCCTCTCTGTGTGTCTGCTCTGTCTCTGCTCTTGTTTACGTACAGATACGTACAACCTGTTAGAAAAGTACCCGACTCACTCTACACGTGTTGAAACACTGTCGCGCTGCTGTTGGCTGCGAGGACATTCAATCGTTTCCCGTTGGCTTACAGCTTTGACCAATCGGCGGCATTCTCGTCTCTGATTGGCTGGTATATGCGTAGATCCCTCCTCACCTGTAACAGCGGCACGTGTAGGTGGTGTGGTCTGTGTGTCTGTGTGTGCTGAACAGGACGATCAGCACGGGGCTGACAGCATGTGCACAACATTTTTTGTATGTAAATTGGGATACATTTGTCCTGCTTTATCAGCCAGTACTTCAGAGGACATGTTTATGCGTGGCAGAGCTGGTTAGTTTCTATTCTCAATTCTGCTTAATCACGTTTAGTTTATATTATCTACAACGACTAAAAAAAAGAAGTAGTAGTCATATTATCTGATAATAGAGGATAGTATATAAACGCAGATATATGTGAAAAGGACAATTCTTTGGTTTGTAACAAAGTGCAAAATATCTTTTTACAGTAAAAATATATCACACATGTACTAGTAGGCCTCCCTACTATTTTTATAGACGCCCTGGTCATAGCAATAAACCCCCTTTGACCATATGATCATCCTGCTTGCATTGACGTCGTGTAATAACGTGCTTAAAGGCTATCTGATGCACAAAGCTAAAATAAATAAATAAATAAATAAGTCCGGACTCACATGGCTGTGGGTCTCAAGTTTGGTCAGGTTTCAGTGAATCAAGCCAAAAGAAAGGCTTGTCTTTGAGTGTGTTCCAGGACTTCAAGTTTCTTTATTATTCATGTCGAGGCCAGTATTGAGAAGACAGATTAGCATTAGATGATGAAATGGCATCAGAGGCCTATAGGGCTACAGAGGAATTTGGACACATGTTGTAGTTACATAAGATTGCTTTACACTGAAGCGTGACTTGGTTTGATGCTTGCAAAAGTCAGCTGTTATATGCGATGTCGTGCTGTTTTAGGAGGATTTGTAAACTAATGATAAGCTGAATCAAAAAAAAAATGAAGGTTTTTATGGTGGCAAGAACTGTCGAAGCTGTATCAGTTGTTTGCATGACATGAAACAAAGCATGCAGCCAAACGTGTGAGGGAGAGAGTCTGTTGCAGGCAGCTTATCATGCATTGTTCAAGACTGAAACTTGGGCTAATTATAGTTAAAACGACAGTTTAGTGTTAAAATGTAACTATTATTAGCACTGATAGTGTGTGCCAAGTCTTTGTTAGCATCATTTAGTTATATCATCACAATGAAATAAATTACATTATCAGCTTATATGGCCCATGGAAATAGAGGCAAACATACCAACAGCTGTATAGAACTATGAACAATGCAACATCTTTAGGCTGGTGCTACTATGTAAATATGATTAACTTGCATGACAGACAGCTTTTGAAAAGGGGATTTGGCTTAGCTGCAAGTAAGTTTCCTTTATGTTATACTTTATTATTTATGAATTAGGGGTTTAAGCTGCAATTTTGAGGTATTGAAAAAAAGCATTTGTCTTTTGGAATAGTCAAAATAAAAAGTTTTTGGGAACGAGAAAATTCTATGAATTTATTTAGGTGAAAGGATTTTGGTTAGATCCAAGTTAAAATCACGTCACCGCAACAAAGCAAGAGTAGCAGCCAATATGTTCTAATGTTATTTGGGTTAAAGCCGTTGGAAGTAAAGGAACTGACCCTTAACAAGTGGAAATAGATAGAGTGGGACAGTCAGTGACTTTCAGTGTAAAATAATGATACTGCTCCATTTTTCCTTACAAGCCACAGCGCAGACAATCGACATGACTGAGTGACCTCACATACAAGTGAGTCAGCCAGGTGGGGTGATGTTTAACGTTCCCTGTGTGAGAGGCGCTCCCAGTGGTGAAGCTGCAGGTTTGTTTGACAGATGTACGCAGGAGACGTGACTGACTCGTGGGAGTGTCCAGAATGAGAACAACAACAGCAGCCACGGGGGTGTCAAAAGTACGGCCCGCGGGCCAACAGCAGCTTTAATCCGGCTCACGAGACACTTTTTGGAGAACGGTGAAATTTAAAACATATAAATACTTATATGCATTTTTTTTATCAATTACAATATTTATATAGAAAAAATGTATAATTAGCAAAGAAAGAGGGTAGTATGATTCAATTCAACGTGGCAATTTGAACTATCTTCCCAACAGGGAGTAACATCGTAAAAGAGACGAGCTGCTCCTGCGTTACGTAATCCCAGAGAACAGGCTGTCCAAAAAGAGAGGGGGTGTCACAGAACAACTACTTTATAGAAAGATAGAAGGGGCTGTATTTCTTTTGTCTTATTTGCTTACAAGTTGCCAAGATCTGATCAAAGAAATGGGACACAGGCACACAGCTGCACACCTTCAGTTCTGTCCACACTTTTCACAGTTTCTCCTGTCTTGATGGTGTGAAATGAAAGTTTGGCTGATATTAACAATGCTTACTTTCTGGTGAGCACAAGGTGGAGCTAGAGCGGACAAGAAAACTTGCTAAACGGCACAGTCTCCTCGCATGCAGACTATTGGGAGTGCAACGGGCATCTCGAGTGACTCAACTCCTGGTTATAGGAAAAACAAGAATGTCAAAATAACATGAACTGATTCTATATACAGATGGTTTATTTTTGCTTTACCCAGAGGAGAAATTGTTCTGGTGAGCACAAAAAAAAGGTTCAGCGTGACATCACTTTAAAATACTGCTGCGCCTTTAAAACCAGATTTGACTGTAAGAACTGAACACACACCCACGATGATCAATGGAAAGAGAAAGGGTCATCACATCTACTTTCAATACTTACATTTAAGTATTAAATACATGTTAAATAACAGTGTGTAGTTTAACATTTAAAAAGGGAAGCAGTATTCAAATCTTCTTCGCTTAATTATTTCAGTATTGAAAAAAAGATGTGTTCAGAGTCACTATTTAAAGAACTCCCAAAATGAAAAAGGCCTGCATTAAAACGAGAAGAAAGCTTTAACAGCCTGTTGTAATACCCCCCACCTACAGGTAACGGCTAATGATAGTTCAGGATTTTGGGGTGACCAATCAGATTTCTATAATGGCCAATCATTCTTAGAAATCCATAGTGAATGCCAAAAAACACTTACATTTGAAATATAACTTTTTTATATGTTGCAAGAATAACACAATGATTTCTGCTGGACGTGATCAGATTTTTTGCTGTTTTGCATAATCTAATTTTACATTTTCATGTGTAAATGTGCTGACTGATCAGTACAAGTACCCTATATTAAATTAAATAAAGAAATCAGCCAGCAGCCTATATATAAATATATGTATATCCATGTGTTGAGTCATAGTATTGTCTGCAAAAATAGTGCAGCCCACAGGAGGTCTCATTTGAACAAATCCAGCCCCCGACCCAATGTGAGTTTGACACCCATAAAATCTAAATACTTCTTAAACTTGTATGCAGACAATCCATCTCTTCAGGCTGCACATTAAAAACATCTGTGTTTATAAGTTTCCCTATAATAAATACCTTTTCAACATGTAAGGTTTAGATATTGTCTCAAATTTATTAGCTTTTCATTGGCAATCTGTTAAGGAAGATTCGTACACAAAATGCCAGACAAGTTTTAATTAACCTGCCTATTACAGGTTATTGCAGGCCTATTACGATTTACTCCCACTGAATGTGAAACAATGGAGCAGCATTCTTCTCCCAGTCCGTTTATGTGTGACAGTGACATGGTGTGGATCTTGATTGCGTCTTCCACATGCTGGTCCCCGTCACAACCAGTCAACTGATAGCCTTCTCTTTCATCACGCCACCTTTATTTTCCTAGTTGCCGAGCCATGGATCCTCTCTGTTTGTCCTTGAGATGAAGGCTATTTTTCTGGCCATTTCCGTGTGGTAAATCCGCCTGCAGTTCTCAAAGTTCTTCCGCTGTTGTTCTTGGCAGGGCTTCTCGAAGTAGCGCTTGCACTTCACTGTTTCAATAATTCCATCCTGAGTTAGAATCCTGGAGATAGTTAAGACATTGGTTATATTAAAATAAAAACTGTAATAAAGGAATAGGCTAAATGAGGCAGAACAAACGGAGGAGCTGCTAGTCTCTACTTCTGAATTATTGATAGGTTAAAACATTATATATTTAAAGCTCATTACAAGATGTGAAATATTGCAAATCTTTACAAAGGGTTTCAAAATTCATTCAAGTTGAAAAACAATGCACTGGCAGAAGGCTGCATCAAAACCAGAAGTTACTCTACAGACATTAATGTGTACAATAAAGCCCTGGTTCTCAACTGGTATCAGGACCAACACCTTCATGAAAACTTGGGAATAGGGATGGTTACCCAAAAACGTAAATCTTATTTAATGAAAGGCTTTCCATAAGTGCTGGCCCAAAACTCACTTTTATTATCAAGCTGCAGCTCGCTTTTCCTGTGCATTTTAGGGGCACGTGCCTCTGTTTGAAATCAAATTAAATATACGAGCATCAGAAGGATGTCTGTGTCAGTGTCTGTTGCAAAATAATTACAGGAAAGAAAAGGAAATGTAGTATTCTGCACAGAGACACTTGTCGTCACTACAGTCTGCTTCAGAAAACACCAGAAACACCTGTGGCACAATGTGACCCGTGCCGTGCACAATGTGCCTAAAAACGTTTTCCTAACACGCTACACATGTATGGTATGTGCCTGATGATTAATCAACACATCAGTGAATCATGTTTTTTACACAGGGCATGATTCTGACAACGCCTCTTCAGCCGGGGGAAGATCGTTCATAAGAGAAACCTGTCACTGTGTTTTGTCACTGTGAGAGAATCTGTTCATTAACTTAACAGTGATACCTGAGGGTTGTTACCTACAGCTTAACATCAGGATAAAATGACTGTTTTTTTTCACGTGGTGTCAGCTCCACATGCATGAATGCGCTCCTCTCCCTCTGTCTCTCTCTCTCTCTCTAAAACTGTGGGAGAGCAATGTGTGTTGATATCCTATTATCAAATGAATAATCAGCACCATGATGTGTTTGGTCTCAGTAAAATACTGCTCTTATTTTAACATATCAGTGTTTTACTGCATGATAGAAAAGCTTGGACATACTGCGAGAAGCATCACAGAGAACACTGTAGACTTTTACACATTAAAGGCCTAATGAAAAGATAAAACAAGGTATAACCATAAGAGTCCATATGCTACCTTCAGAGTTTCTGAGGTTACTTAAACCGTTTGGGGAGTGCATTGAAAAATCTGTTTTTCCATCGTGTTTCAACTTAAAATATAGTAAGATTTAAAAATGTTTCCAAAAACATAAATAAATCCCTTGTTTTAGTCAGATCTCGAAGTATATATTTGATGTGTTACATTAGACATCTTTCATGTCATGTGTTTAGTGTTTGCACCAAATAATGAAGAGTAGTATCAATAAGACTATTCATGAGTTAAACTGGTATTGATACAGGTATCGATAAAATCCTAACGATACCGGTCCCTAATCGGGACCCAAATGTTATTTTTAACTAATCAAAGTCAACAAATCAGAATGCAGGACTTTAGGTTTTTTCAAAATGTGACAGATCAAAGAAAGGTAAAACAAACACTGGCACACATTGGTAACCCCCTGATAACAGCTCTGTGACCCACCAGTTGAGAACCAGCTCAATAAAGAGTGTGAGGGTTAACACCATGGATGCATTATACAAGGTTAACACCTTGATATTTACAGTCTGGGCTTTACAATAAACTAAGAAGTACAAACGTAAGAAAGGCAGTTAAAAAACAAGAAGGTAAACAGATGAGGAAATAACTGTTCATAATAACAACAATATTATGAATAATGTCTTAGTTGGACAGCCTATGGGGCCTGTGGGGAAAAATAATCTTCCAGATAGTCACACCACTTCATTAACTCCAAACGCTTCTAGCTTTGGATTCAACTAAATAAACCATAAAACCACAAAACATAAACATAAGAAAATAAAGCGTTTATCTTCAGGCTGCGCTATAAGGTGACACTGCGCAGCCGCAGCTCTGTGACATTGAGCGGAAGGCTAACGTTAACGTAGCTAATGTTAGCTTTGTAATTTTCTGGATGACGGTGAACGTACGTTATGTTTTATCTCAAAATTAGTTTTCACCTGTTCAAAGTCTTGTACGCCGCATCAACGTTGCCGTCCTGGACCATCACAGTTCTTGCGATGAAGCGGAGGTGCCTCGACATGATGAGAACGGTGTCTGTTCTATAACTGTCCGGTTAGAAACAGTAGCTTCTTCTTCTTCTTCTTTTGTATTTCCGTCAGACTACATGCCTTGCGACACACTGCTGCCCCCTCAGTCGATATTTGGTATTGTTTTAAAGTATCTAAATAATTGAAATAATTAGAAAATGATTCCTATCGAAGATATAGCCTAAATTCTACTACTGCTTACACAATCTGTGACTGATGTTCAGACGAATTTAGTACCAGTGTTCCAGTGTTACTGTCTGTATTTGAGTGAATGATATAGCAATGTATATTTATTCTCTTTCCTCCATTAATAGGTTACAACCCTTTGCACATGTTTTACGGTTCTGCAGAGTCCATCCTCGTATTTTCCGATCTTTGCCAGATCACAAGCAACCACACAGTGTCCTAAACTAAGTCTTGTCATTATTAGGCTACAGTGTGCCTTCTTCCTTTGCCCAAATAGCATATCTTTGTTTTTACATTATTCTGAATTGAAAAGTAATGGCATCCCAGACACAGAAAACCCCACTAATCCTCCAGCCTGTTCGATTTTATACAACAGATATACTAATTCAACAATAAGGTCTAGCCTGTCTCTTAAATTTCATTTTCTATTCTAAAACTGAGGCCGAATCTAAACACATTACTGCCATCATAAAGTCCCTAAAACAGGAGAAGTTACAACTTAACGCTAGGTGGCGCTTTATTCAACAATTCTTTTCAACATGGTGTTTCACTGGATGAAGTTTATCCTACATGAATCAAAATATATACCGGTACTCCAAATGAAATGTGACACTTGTATGTTCACCGAAGGTAATTCTGGTAACATTTAAACCATCATCAGATTGATTGTATGGGTGAAGTCTTCAAATACATATTTAAAAAGTAAATACTAAGTTAACCTTTATGATTCTTAAATTGTGAAAAAACTTTAACACATAAAGTTTAAAACTGCTGTAGGCTTTATTTTTTATTTTTTATTTCATCCTTTTTATTAGTTTTTACTTTTGCTCCTTTTATTATTCATTTTCTGTTAGACTTACATCTTAAATTGTTAAGAAAAAACAAGTAGTCAGCAATCATCACCATAGGTATGTTGTTAAAACTTGTCCACACATCTGAATATATAAAAATGAATATAAAATTACAAAATTAGAACATGTAAACATTATGAACATCTGTAATAAAAACAAATCAGATGTGTTTACTGCTCTTCACATATTAATGCTGTATGGTTTTTGGATTTGACTTGTTGTTGTTGTTGATGTTTTTATACAACATATTTTCTATTAGTGGTAAATAAGGTTATGACAATATATATTTTGCCTTTGTATGTTTTCTGTGTGTTTATCCTGATGTTATATTTGAAAGGTGATCATTATAGATGTGTTGAATGTTTGACCACATAGGGCCTATCAACCTATTGGTTTTGACATATATATGGGTGTGGTCCCCCCTCCTTTGTTCAAAAATGTGCAGGCCTATCTTCTTCTTAAGTCTGCTGATTTTGCACTGCCCTGAATCTAAGTGATGTGTGTATAACTACCTCCTTTTTCTCTGTTAGACTTATATCACATAATTCTTGGGTGGACATGGAAGTAAATGACACTCTCAAACATTGTAAATTGTTTCCTCTTTCTCTGTACTTGCTTAAACCTAACCTGGGTTTCTGCATTACAGGGATCAGCAGCAAGCCTAGATAGCCTGCAGGGCAAGCACAGATTTATGAAACCACATCCGTTGTGATAACTATGGGACAGTGGTTTCCGGTGTTGTGTTTTCATCAGGTCCATTCTTCTCTTCTTCTTCTCATCCCTGAGCCACAGATGTCCTCTGCACGTCTCAGTCTGAGGTCACTCAGCGGTGAATAACAGCCTGTATGGTATGTCTAATTAGCATTCAATAGTGCTTTTATATGAGCGTACTCTTTATAAAGTACCCAATGGGGATTATTCCGATGTTGCTGAAACCCTATAGGGTACAGTACTGATGGTGCCACAGGGAGGAATGCTGAGACAACCAGCACTGATAACATCATGGCTCCTTTTGTTGGCTCAATGCACTGCATCATGTTTCCAGAGGCATCCCTTGTGATCCAGACTTGATGACATAATCTTGGCTGAGTGTGTGTGTTTGTGTGTTTGAAGATGAGAGAGATGAGAGATACTATAGTGTTAGTCCTCAAATGTGCAGGTTAGTGGTGTCTTATTTCTGTGTTTACAACACAAATAAGACCTAAAGACATGAAACCATGTGACTTAAAATCCAGAAAAATTTATTACGAGATGACATGAGGAGTCTGTGCTGGATGAATGAACATGATAACATACTGTAGCATTGCTTTTGATTATGATGGTTAAACTTCCCTCATGTGTCTCATCTCTCAAAATGTTTAATTTCAGACTGAAAACGATGACGACCCTGCCCTGCATGGTTGCCTCCAGCAAACCCCCCCACCCTCCCCCATCACCACACACACACACACACACACACACACACACACACACACACACACACACACACACACACACACACACACACACACACACACACACACACCCTTCCCCACTGAAAAGTTGATGAAAAGTTACCCTGATCCCTGGTTTCACGGTACAGATTTTGCCTCAGGTTGGGATTAATGGAAAAAAGTACAATTGTTCTAAATGCATGTTTTTATTGATAAGGCAACCTGTAGCCCATCGTGCCTTCTGAACTTCCTGATAAATAATTGAGTCTAATAGCCGAACACCAACCTAAAAAAAAACAATTAGCACGTTAAGTATATCCGAGAAAAAACAAAGCTCTTACTGGAAGCACATTTTCCAGCTCGTATCTAAATCTTTCACCGTGCTGACAGAGGTGGAGGCTACAGTCGGAATCAGGGGGGAAAGTCCCTCTCTGCTACCAGCCTCGGGATTGGCTGGCTCTCATCAGGTCCAGACGAGCTATCAGCCAATCACAACAGGCACTGATGCTGGCAGGGGAGACGGCTTCAAACCGGTGAACGAACTGAGGCGGACAGACGCTCGGAAACTGATAGAGACCACTTCCAGTCTGCAAAAGTGTCACCTCTGCAAGAAGTAGCATCAAGATGGAGAAGAAAATCAGAGATTTCTCAGGAAAATGGACGATGAAGTCTTCGGTAAATTTCGAGGAACTTTTGAAAGCACTGGGTAAGAAATAGATGTATTGATAGATAAATTTTTTTTAATGTATACTGAAAATGCAAAAAAAAAGTTGGGTTTTTTTCAGTGCAAAAAAAGTTTCCCAACAGTACAGGGATGCATCCCATTTTTTCTACCTTTTTTCAACATTTTCATGCAAAAACCTTTAATTTGAAAACATCTTTACAGATACATAATTATCAAGCCACACTGTTAAAATGCTGAACAAAAAAAGGGGGGAAGGGGAAGCATCAGCTGCACAAAGACCTGTCAATCATGTTTTCAGACTCAGAGTGGCATTGTCAGCCGGAAATCCACTTGGCTTTGAGGTCTACTGGAGAACCAAAGTGGTCTGAAGTGGCTCTGTGTGGTTTAATTGGTTTGCCCCTGCCTTGTTTGTCTATGTTCCAGAGGGGGGGTAGAGGGTCTTGCTAAGCTATAAGAGGTTGTATAAGAGTGAGAGAGAGCAGGAAAAGAGGGAGGTCAGGTGAGGGGCAGCCAGTGGCATCCATAAAAAATCTGAAGACAAATAGCCTGTGGAGGAATGTTAGATTAGACTCATCTGAAGCAGGGTCCTCCTCATGCGGTTGTAATTAGAGCCAGTGTAAACGGAACTAAGCCTCGACATGGGCCCCAGCAGCCAGCCGGCTCTGAGGCTGACTTTCCTTCACTTCCCTGGGCCTCTCCAATCCAGTCTATGGCTCTGTGTGTACGTGTGTGTGTGTACGTGTGTGTGTGTACGTGTGTGTGTTGCCTCTGCTGGTAAGACTCTATGAGCAAATATGGTCAGAGCTTAATCCGATTTGTAGGGTGGTCTTGATCTTATTGAGTCTGTCAAGCTTACATGAATTAAGGGCACAAACTGAAAGGTCAATAGGCAGATAAAATTGGTATGTATTTATAAACCATCTCATCTCTAATCATCCAGCAAATAGGAGTTAACATAAGCTTTTCATTTTTTAAACCACTTAACACATCATTAGAACCCTGTACAGTCTATACAGGGTTTCTTGGGGAAGTCAATTAAATAACTACAAAGGAAATAAACATAAAATACCACCAATTTACAGATTCATTAAACAACAATAAAGAGACACACAACTACTTCAGACTACAAAGAAGGACTACATGTCCAAAAACAAAGCAACCACAGAGAGAGACAAGTTGGCCAGAGATTTTATCAATTCTAGTGATACAAAACAATCAAAAAATTCCACAAAGAAAGCAATAGAATTATGATCTTTATTGAATCTATCTTGTTCCTAGTGGCCGGGCTCAGAGGACACCCAGAGACATATGTCCTTCATGCCTTAATGCCACTTGTAGCTGTCATTAACTGCTTCATTATCAGGTAGAGACATTTCAAAAGTTGGATTTTCTCATTTGGACGTCAGGTTCAGTTATTGACTTAGTTAACTCAAAGTTTTCAATGTTTGTTTTCATTGGCTTTTGCAAAGTTTGTATTCAAATTATTTCAAAATGCAGCTCTGACGTTATCATTAACTTTTTTGTTCATGCTTAAATTACATCGTGTGTTAAGAGGCATCGACCGGCTTCAATGGACATTTAACTTGAGCCAGTGATGAGGGGAGTTTTAACTCTGGTTGAACGATGTGTTAAACACTATAACAGTAATTAGTGGTTTGAAAGAACATACCGGTGGTTTTGCATGTTGTAACTCATGTATATATATCAAGCGTGTTTCTTATTAATGCAACCATTTTCTGAAACATACCATGCTGAACATTTTTGTAGATTGACTTCCTTGCTTAAAGTTTTAATTGCTAAAAGATGTCAGCATGCGTAGTCATTAAGCAAATAAATTAATCACATTTTAAGTCAAATTTAAGTTTTTATTGTTTGGGAATGCAGCAGCAC